CGTATGTCCGTGATTATGCGTCAAGTGCCCGAGATTAATATACCCCTAAGTTTACGAACTTACGACACAAAAACTGGGTTAGCATAATACATAAATCTATCGGAGTGTGTTAAGAGAAGGGCAACTGTCCAAATTGTTCAACATGTGACAAAAACTGGCAATATACAAATCAATTTGCTTTACAAACAAGATTGGCACTTGACAGATATAAATCCGTTATATTTTTATATATCGTTATCCGTATAAAAAATTTCGACAAATGGTCATGTATTTTTTCTTGTTTCGGGCTTAATAAATTCATAAATTATGTAGTTTCTACTCTTTTTCTCTTTAGCCTATTTATTCGTAAAACACGTGTACCGTGACAAATAATTGTATGCTTCTTTTTTTAAACAGCGACGTTGACGAGTTTGGCGCGTAATTATCGCGCAACGTGTTACGTAAGGTCGCAATCGCGACTCGCGAATTGGTTGCATATTTAGAAACATTTAATTGCTTCCATGTGGTAAACCGCGCGTAGTTCTAATCCGTCGAGAGAGCCACAAGAACGCGCAGTTATATTCTATCATGCGACGTAATCGGCTAGGTGCGTCGTATATTCGTAGAACATATACCTATTTGCGCATAAACTCATACATACATACACACACCGAACATGGTTTACGGCTCTCCTCGGTTTCCTGGCGGCGATTAATCTACCCCGTGTAACGATTCCTTCTTGACAGTTCTCATCGCGGAAAGTAATAGCCGCCGCCAGATGAGGAATTCAATGGCGAGGCAGCCTCGCCTGGTCTCGCACCACAATACCCACCCACGAGATACGCTCTCCTCTCGTCGACAAATGTTTTTCGCTTAGAGTGGTGAACCCTTGAAAATCGACGCGGTTAGGGAAAAACGGCGGATGCGACGGAGGAGGAAAGAATAGAGCGGCGAGAGAAAGTAAAATGGCTGCCATGCGACGGAATCATTTGTTCTGGGAAGCCTTCGGGTCGGCAAACAAACGATGCCGCATGCGATAGATCGATCCGCGTAATCGAGGGTGAGATGATGGAGCGGTATAATACCCGCGGCCTACCTGTCGTTATCGCGACATTTATCTGTGAGCTATTCCGCGTCCGATATTCTATTATATATCCTACGCGACCGTAATCCATTATCGGCGCGTTCGCGTGTATGTATGCGCGACCTTCGGTATCTGTCCATTGTCTACGCGTTTATTAATCGCACCGGGCGAACGCGCTCGAGAGATCATTAAAGACTCGACGCTGTGACACCATTAACACGCTCGGAGTTGTCTCTGTCGTGGCTGATATTGCTGTAGCATTTTCACGATTGTGTCTATACATTGTGTCTATACATTTGCCGATTACTCGGATTTTTACATAGATCTTTTTTCAAATCTCGTGTTTTCGACACGTTATTTATATATTATAAATAAATTATAAAATAATATATCGTAAAGTATGCCACATTTAATTGTGAATATTAGAAATAATTGTATATATTAGAAATAAAGATGCGTAAAAGATTGCGAGAGATAAATGGAGAAATTTTCAAGCGTCAATCCACAGACAGAATAAAACCATCGCGAATAATTGGACATTTCAAAATTATCTACCGCGTCCCATTTGAACGAGACGGTCATTCGTCGATGGTCATTCACGAACATCTGCTGATGTGTCATCTTTTACATTTTTGTACCTATTTCTAGGAAATAATCTGACCAATTTTTTTCATTTTTCAGGCCCACATGGGAGAAGTGGCGAAACGGTCGATATATCCGTTTTGGTTTAAGCTCGTACTAAATGTCATTTTTTATCTTTGGCAGCATTTCAATTTTTGATGCTCCGAGTATATATCGTCCATAAATCTTTACTAAAACGCAACGGCGCACTGATGACTCGATCCGATACAGATCCACCAATATGCAGTTATGACCGTCGGAATAAACTATACACTCTAAATGTAAAATAAGCAACATGCCTGGTTTTGTCAAAAAAAAAATCGCGTAATATTCACATTGCAATATTTTTAGTCACATTTATTTACAATAGACGTATGCTGAAATAGAGAAAACAACACGTTTCATCTATTTGAGACAATTCTAATTTACGCGGTAGGTAACAAATATTTTTTGTAAAATAGATATACAGCTGGCATAAAAATAGAAGAAAAGAAATATATGAATGATAAGAATTGAAGTAAAAAATTATAATAATTAAAATATGTAATGTACATTTTAGAAGAAACAAAAATAAAATTATGATTCCTATCAACATATCTATTTTTAAAATAATGAAGGTTTTATATCGTATTCAGAGACTAAGACACACTTCATTTAAAGAGAAAGAAATTCAATATAACATTTAAAAAATTTATGAGCCAGCTATAAACCTAAGAAAAACATATATATATAGAATTCTAAGTTGCAAACAATTAATTTGATAATAATAAGCAATATTCATAAATTTCACGAAAAGTATTGCTAAAAAACATTGTGATTAATCGCGATAAACAAACTATGTACCGGAAACCGTTGTGTACAAAATGGCTATAAATCGCTAGGCTTTATCCGGAAACATAAATCTGCGTCGACGATAGGTGCATAAAACGCGGCATAATAAAATTTCACACAGAAGGGATAGATTACAGCGGTCGAGTGTTAACACAGCTGAAGATATTACAACCCCTTTTTTGGCTGCACTATATCAGGTATAGACAGTGTATACCGAACATAACATAGATATGATGTAGACGGATGGATGGCGGATTGTGACGGCGGAAAACACGAAGCCCCGAGAGTTACGGGACCATACTACGGGGATGATGGTGTCTTTCGAAAAACTCGAGGTAATCCCGTTCGTCCCGTAATCCGATTTAACCCTGGCCAATCGCGGCCGCTGCCGGTTGCCGGTCGTGTAACGGAACGACCGTCGAGCGAACGTAAACGAGAGCAATCGGAAGGAATCATCCGCCACAGTGAAACCACGTTTACTTTTTCATTACCCGAATCGATCGAGAGAGATTTAACGGTCGCGCTCGTCGGATACATTAAGTCTGAGCGATTATTATTCGCGCCGAAACATAAGTCATCAAGGGATGTTACATATTGTTCGACGGTTTAATCGATAAAATATTTAAATGCCATAAATTTAAAGAAAATTTAAATTCCGATGAATTTTGAAAGTACGAACGACATAAAAATAATATCTAACATCCGTATCACCAGCACGAATAAATTTATATACTCGTGATATTCGTAATGTATACACAGAATTATTGATTATATTTCTAAAATTTAATCTCCCTCGAAATGCTTCTCGAAGTAGACTTTTAAACTACGTTATGACAAATTTCGATTTTGACAGTTATCCTTTTATGGATCTTTTTATAGGTCCGTATATGTAACAAATTTCGTTGAATTCGTCTATGGATTCCAAGGTTAAAATGAGATTTGCTGGACTACATCGAAACGCGCGACCGAAGTGGAATAAAATCAGAATATCCATAGGAACTGGAGCTTTTGCGGTGGCTGCGCGTTCGATAAAACGGAGACGCCTTCGGCGCCGTCGCGCGTCCATGGTTCTTCAATACCCTCGCTTCTATCGTCATTCTTTCTAAGATATATGAGATCTAATCGATTAGAAGACTTATCTCCATATGGAATCTGAATATTATACTTCAACAATAATCTTAGCGTTTTGACACAACCAAGCTTTTCAACAGAGCTCAGAATTCTTTTTGATCAACATTATATTGAATATTCTTGAAGAAATACAGGTATCTGACAAAGTAGATATAATTATTTCTTATGAATAGCATACTGTGTTCTTATTAAATTTTTCATTAATTTTCTGATAATAAGATATATTCCATGTAAAATGTCATCATTATCAAATAGTAATAATGTCAGAGAAAATATTTTTGTGTGTATCAATTTTGGTGATAAATAACCAAAGAAATGGAACAAATTTGAATGAACAAAGCATTAAAAAATTTGCCCAAGATTGAAAAATAAACTAAACTAACAAAATACGTAAACGCGTCTGAATGCGCTAGCTGGCAGCCTATCAATCTTATCTAGCTATCACCGGGTACTAACGTCGAGAACAGTTCGTCGCGCGATCACGGCAACAGAAGCAACAGCAGCAGTGGCGTCACGGCAGCAGGAACAGCAGCAGCTCGCGGGATCATGCCTTGCCTCCCCTCTACAATCGCGTACAAGCTACCAACTTCTCCGTCCCACATTCTGCCGAGTACATCGATCGCTCTCTCTCTCCTCGTCTCGCTTCCTTTCCGCCTGTCAGAGAGAGGGTGCGTGAGAGGTGCCGCCAGCATCAATGGTGGTGGAAGAGCATTCACGGTGGGGTTCGCATACCGGCTCCGGTTAGCACGCGTGGTAGGGATAATTAAACCGACACAAGCGTAGCTCCCTACACTGCCTAACGGAAGGACGAAGAAAGGTTACCATGGCTACGTGGATAGGATCCGGCCAATCCCGGTGTGCCTCGTAGGCGTGGTCTGTACATTGGCACCCCGATACCTTCTATCTCTATCTCTTTTTCTCGCCCGTACCCCTCTGCAAAGTCGAAAGGTGGTGGAGGTAGCGAGACAGAGGTAGAGGTACGTCTAGAGCGCCAGCGAGACAGCCTGGTTGCAACGGGCGCGTACAAACGTATCATGCTGGGTAGGGCCGGTGCCGAGATGCCGGCTTGTAAACGAAACCAGTTTGCTATCCGATACGATCCAGGCAACAGCGGCCTCGCGTGATATCCCCACGACGTGGAGCGTCTAGAGCGCAGCCTGGTTGCAACGGGCGCGTACAAACGTATCATGCTGGGTAGGGCCGGTGCCGAGATGCCGGCTTGTAAACGAAACCAACGAAACCACGGGTGTTACCCCTGGAGAACGAACTTCGCGCGAACCGACCTGACAGCGATCTACGATGGGCATCGGAGCTCCTACGACGTGCTCCTACTGTCCTACTGTGCGACATTGTCACGTGTCACTTCAAGAATCGTTTTGAATATAATCAGTGACGTGTCGTGCGACGAGAGAGAGAAAACAGAAATCACCAAGCTTTCAGAATTTAATGCTTGCGGTAACAGTCGGTTGTTTTTCGAGGATAGTTGTTTCTCTCTCTCTCTCTCTATCTTCTCATAAGAAATTTAAAAACTCGTTGCATCTCTCTCTCTCTAGATGTCGTAACACCTGCTTCGTTTGTATTCCCGGACTTTAGAATTTTACAGTGTCAATGGTGAAGTGGATAATCTTCCAGTGACCGTTACGTCTGTTTGTAATATGAGAGAACGTATCGCGGGTGATTTCGACGAATCATGAAAAAATCCAAGAGCAAACATAAATCGGAGCCGCGTGTTTCTTGAACCGCGACCGGATAACGTCGACTCTTCGAGGCAGGCTGGACCAGAATTGGTGGATCGTGAGAAGATCGCCGTTCCAGGAAGATGTCCGCCGCTGGGACCACGCCGTCGAACGCGAACGGTCCGCTCGTACCTGCTCCGATATTCGCTTTGCCAACGTTATCCTTTTCCGTCAGCCAAGTGGCCACGGTCTGCGAGACCCTGGAAGAGAGCGGTGACATCGAGAGGCTGGCTAGGTTTCTATGGAGTCTTCCGGTCGCTCATCCCAATATCCAGGAACTGAATCAAAGCGAGGCCGTCCTCAGAGCGCGTGCCATCGTCGCATTCCACTCGGGACATTATCGCGAGCTCTACGCCATTCTGGAGAGGCACAAATTCACCAAGGACTCCCACGGTAAGCTGCAGGCCATGTGGTTGGAAGCGCACTACCAGGAAGCCGAGAAACTTCGCGGCCGACCGCTGGGACCCGTGGATAAATATCGCGTCCGAAAGAAATTTCCGTTGCCAAGAACGATCTGGGACGGCGAGCAGAAGACGCACTGCTTCAAAGAGAGAACCAGGTCGCTGCTCAGAGAATGGTATCTCCAGGATCCTTATCCGAATCCGGGAAAGAAGCGGGAGCTAGCCGCTGCGACGGGACTCACGCCGACGCAGGTTGGAAATTGGTTCAAAAATAGAAGGCAGAGGGATCGCGCTGCTGCAGCGAAAAACAGGTGTGTCATAAATCTAATTCTATTCTTCCCGCTAACCGGAAAGAGCGAGCTTCTAAGAAGAATAATCGCCCAAACGACAAAAACCACGTTTTTCATCGCGGTCCTGTCAAACAATCTATCGGATTTGTCGAATTTCGAATTTTCAAACTCATTTCGCGATATCATTTTTCGGCAAAATAACAGAAATGACAGATTCTAATATAAACTAGGCTTTATAGCAATCGTTCCGAATTATATATTATATATACATATAATTAAATCTTTATAAAATGGGAAGGGGGGAATTGATAACATATATTTATAATATATATTAATATATAACGTATATATTTTTGGGAGTGTATGTTTTTGGGGACAAGAAGAGAGCAAAATATTTTGTATACATCGCTCTGATATTTGTGCTCATTCAAATCTTCTCAATGTCATTAAACACGCGACAAGTTAACGAACATAAATCTACAAACACGTGCGCGTTTTTAGCTGACAATCGCTAAATCAAAAGTTTGTGTATTAAAATAACAATTAAATTAAATAATAATCAAATTATTAGTATATAAGTAATGATTAAATTATTAAATCCGCAATATCGAAAATGATAAATAATTGTTTAATTCTGTTGTAAAAATATGCGCGTGTGCATCTTAAATGAATGCATATCTTATTGTTAAACGAAGACTATACACCGTTAAACTTTAAAGACTGAGCCTTGAATTTTCCATACAGGAAAAGATACATATTTCACCGGTAACACATGGCTAAACAATGAGCCCATATGGAAGACATATTTCCATAGTGTAAAGTTTACCGGAAAATCTTTTGTATTCTACACAACACTTATTCGCAATGCTAGTCGCTGCATTAAAATTTACAATATCAATAAATCAATTACGACAAAAACTATGAGAACGCTTTATCGATCATTGTAATTCTACTTATCAAGATAATCAACATCATTTTATATAAAATGTCACGCGAAGAATCTACCGTGATAAATCGAAGAAGCCGATTCACATACGTCTTAGAAATCGTTGGTTATAAAGTAGAAGGAAAGTTTTGTTCATTAAGTAGCGTTTAATGGAAGTTAATCGCGAAACGATTAGTGGTTTAGGTCCCTTTAGACAGATTGTTGTACTGTGTCCTCGGCAAACGAGCCTTTGTGCTTGCCCCAAGGTCCCCGCGTGGAGGGTCGCGTAATTTCATTTTGACGTCCGACGGAGGGTCGCTGCCGTCGGGCGAACGACGATTTTCGAATTACGTCTTTCAAATTGTGTTTTGACGTCGCGTTCTCTCTTTCTCTCTTTTTCTCTCTATCCCTCTATCTGACTCGAACGCCGAAGTTCCAGGATAGCTTTAAAATAGCATTTGAATCAGTCTCAAATCTTTGCATTCTCCGTCTTTGTGCAGGGAAATGAAAGGAATATCATGCGGAAATATTTTTCCCCTTTCCTCTCGTGGCTTTGAATATTGCATTTTTTTCGTTAATTATATTCCTAAGACGAGAGCTCGGGCGAAATAAAAATATATTTTTAAAAATATATTGTGTAGAAATGTGAACGCGAAATATGTGATATGCGAAGAAAAATTAATCGCCTCTTCAAAACTATTTAGACAATCATTACTTGCTGATGTTTTAATACAGATATTTCTTCGTTTGTTACCGATTATCTTGAAAACGCGGAAATACGCCTAAAACCTGAGGTATATTCTCCGTCATCGAGAAGAAAAGAAATAATACACGAGTTTACCGAGTGCAAGGATTGTGAAAAGGAAAATTCTGTTGATTAGTCACAATTTGACATTATTAAGAGATCATCGACGAGGTGTAGAAAAACGGTGATGGTGAAAAAACGGAAGTATCTCTGTTGGGGGTTTATACCTGTCATTTCTATGCAACTCGACGAGCAGCCTCGTAGCCAGGTAACGGTCTGCTCACCGCATTGTTCAGCTATTTATCCCTAGACGAAACCGCCATTATTTGCGTATAAAAAGAAAACTTGAGGATTTTCTTCACAACGAAAAACGCTTCCTTTTTTTTTCCCGTTGGAAAGCCTCGAGTGGCCGACGAACCGGATGTTCCTCCCGGTGTGATTTATGAATTCTCGGAAGACCTACCCGAACATTTTCACTATTGCTTCCACGGGAATTCCGAATGCCAGTTCACAGCGCGAACACGCGATCTTGCATGCGCGATATTACTTTGATTGAGTTTGGGGAAAAATATTTATTTAATACTTGTCTAAATGATTCCGAAAGTTAATTGGATGGCTTTTAAGTCAAAGATATAAAGCACCTCTGTGTATCTAACAGTTATATAAAATTAAAAACCAATCCAAATATCTAAAAGATATTTAAAAAACGTCTGATAAATATCCAATGAATTAAATGATTTATAACATATGTAGATTTTCAATACCACAAAAATAATTAAAGCTAATTTTAATTTTTTCCCATTATAAAAATCAATTCGTATGAGACTTGTCGTTTAATACTTGTCAAATGTACATCGAATTTTTCATGTCAATCTCACGAGCGACATGCAACATCCTGGCCGATTAAAATATTAATTCATTCCGTATTGCTGCGTTATTTCAATCATAAATCAGGATGTTTCGATAACCTGAAGAGCGTCAGCGTGCCTGGGCCTAGTGGGTGTTACCCTGAGCGACCTGGAGAACGAACTTCGCGCGAACCGACCTGACAGCGATCTACGATGGGCATCGGAGCTCCTACGACGTGCTCCTACTGTACTAACTCGCGACATTGTCACGTGTCACTTCAAGAATCGTTTTGAATATAATCAGTGACGTGTCGTGCGACGAGAGAGAGAAAACAGAAATCACCAAGCTTTCAGAATTTAATGCTTGCGGTAACAGTCGGTTGTTTTTCGAGGATAGTTGTTTCTCTCTCTCTCTCTCTATCTTCTCATAAGAAATTTAAAAACTCGTTGCATCTCTCTCTCTCTAGATGTCGTAACACCTGCTTCGTTTGTATTCCCGGACTTTAGAATTTTACAGTGTCAATGGTGAAGTGGATAATCTTCCAGTGACCGTTACGTCTGTTTGTAATATGAGAGAACGTATCGCGGGTGATTTCGACGAATCATGAAAAAATCCAAGAGCAAACATAAATCGGAGCCGCGTGTTTCTTGAACCGCGACCGGATAACGTCGACTCTTCGAGGCAGGCTGGACCAGAATTGGTGGATCGTGAGAAGATCGCCGTTCCAGGAAGATGTCCGCCGCTGGGACCACGCCGTCGAACGCGAACGGTCCGCTCGTACCTGCTCCGATATTCGCTTTGCCAACGTTATCCTTTTCCGTCAGCCAAGTGGCCACGGTCTGCGAGACCCTGGAAGAGAGCGGTGACATCGAGAGGCTGGCTAGGTTTCTATGGAGTCTTCCGGTCGCTCATCCCAATATCCAGGAACTGAATCAAAGCGAGGCCGTCCTCAGAGCGCGTGCCATCGTCGCATTCCACTCGGGACATTATCGCGAGCTCTACGCCATTCTGGAGAGGCACAAATTCACCAAGGACTCCCACGGTAAGCTGCAGGCCATGTGGTTGGAAGCGCACTACCAGGAAGCCGAGAAACTTCGCGGCCGACCGCTGGGACCCGTGGATAAATATCGCGTCCGAAAGAAATTTCCGTTGCCAAGAACGATCTGGGACGGCGAGCAGAAGACGCACTGCTTCAAAGAGAGAACCAGGTCGCTGCTCAGAGAATGGTATCTCCAGGATCCTTATCCGAATCCGGGAAAGAAGCGGGAGCTAGCCGCTGCGACGGGACTCACGCCGACGCAGGTTGGAAATTGGTTCAAAAATAGAAGGCAGAGGGATCGCGCTGCTGCAGCGAAAAACAGGTGTGTCATAAATCTAATTCTATTCTTCCCGCTAACCGGAAAGAGCGAGCTTCTAAGAAGAATAATCGCCCAAACGACAAAAACCACGTTTTTCATCGCGGTCCTGTCAAACAATCTATCGGATTTGTCGAATTTCGAATTTTCAAACTCATTTCGCGATATCATTTTTCGGCAAAATAACAGAAATGACAGATTCTAATATAAACTAGGCTTTATAGCAATCGTTCCGAATTATATATTATATATACATATAATTAAATCTTTATAAAATGGGAAGGGGGGAATTGATAACATATATTTATAATATATATTAATATATAACGTATATATTTTTGGGAGTGTATGTTTTTGGGGACAAGAAGAGAGCAAAATATTTTGTATACATCGCTCTGATATTTGTGCTCATTCAAATCTTCTCAATGTCATTAAACACGCGACAAGTTAACGAACATAAATCTACAAACACGTGCGCGTTTTTAGCTGACAATCGCTAAATCAAAAGTTTGTGTATTAAAATAACAATTAAATTAAATAATAATCAAATTATTAGTATATAAGTAATGATTAAATTATTAAATCCGCAATATCGAAAATGATAAATAATTGTTTAATTCTGTTGTAAAAATATGCGCGTGTGCATCTTAAATGAATGCATATCTTATTGTTAAACGAAGACTATACACCGTTAAACTTTAAAGACTGAGCCTTGAATTTTCCATACAGGAAAAGATACATATTTCACCGGTAACACATGGCTAAACAATGAGCCCATATGGAAGACATATTTCCATAGTGTAAAGTTTACCGGAAAATCTTTTGTATTCTACACAACACTTATTCGCAATGCTAGTCGCTGCATTAAAATTTACAATATCAATAAATCAATTACGACAAAAACTATGAGAACGCTTTATCGATCATTGTAATTCTACTTATCAAGATAATCAACATCATTTTATATAAAATGTCACGCGAAGAATCTACCGTGATAAATCGAAGAAGCCGATTCACATACGTCTTAGAAATCGTTGGTTATAAAGTAGAAGGAAAGTTTTGTTCATTAAGTAGCGTTTAATGGAAGTTAATCGCGAAACGATTAGTGGTTTAGGTCCCTTTAGACAGATTGTTGTACTGTGTCCTCGGCAAACGAGCCTTTGTGCTTGCCCCAAGGTCCCCGCGTGGAGGGTCGCGTAATTTCATTTTGACGTCCGACGGAGGGTCGCTGCCGTCGGGCGAACGACGATTTTCGAATTACGTCTTTCAAATTGTGTTTTGACGTCGCGTTCTCTCTTTCTCTCTTTTTCTCTCTATCCCTCTATCTGACTCGAACGCCGAAGTTCCAGGATAGCTTTAAAATAGCATTTGAATCAGTCTCAAATCTTTGCATTCTCCGTCTTTGTGCAGGGAAATGAAAGGAATATCATGCGGAAATATTTTTCCCCTTTCCTCTCGTGGCTTTGAATATTGCATTTTTTTTCGTTAATTATATTCCTAAGACGAGAGCTCGGGCGAAATAAAAATATATTTTTAAAAATATATTGTGTAGAAATGTGAACGCGAAATATGTGATATGCGAAGAAAAATTAATCGCCTCTTCAAAACTATTTAGACAATCATTACTTGCTGATGTTTTAATACAGATATTTCTTCGTTTGTTACCGATTATCTTGAAAACGCGGAAATACGCCTAAAACCTGAGGTATATTCTCCGTCATCGAGAAGAAAAGAAATAATACACGAGTTTACCGAGTGCAAGGATTGTGAAAAGGAAAATTCTGTTGATTAGTCACAATTTGACATTATTAAGAGATCATCGACGAGGTGTAGAAAAACGGTGATGGTGAAAAAACGGAAGTATCTCTGTTGGGGGTTTATACCTGTCATTTCTATGCAACTCGACGAGCAGCCTCGTAGCCAGGTAACGGTCTGCTCACCGCATTGTTCAGCTATTTATCCCTAGACGAAACCGCCATTATTTGCGTATAAAAAGAAAACTTGAGGATTTTCTTCACAACGAAAAACGCTTCCTTTTTTTTTCCCGTTGGAAAGCCTCGAGTGGCCGACGAACCGGATGTTCCTCCCGGTGTGATTTATGAATTCTCGGAAGACCTACCCGAACATTTTCACTATTGCTTCCACGGGAATTCCGAATGCCAGTTCACAGCGCGAACACGCGATCTTGCATGCGCGATATTACTTTGATTGAGTTTGGGGAAAAATATTTATTTAATACTTGTCTAAATGATTCCGAAAGTTAATTGGATGGCTTTTAAGTCAAAGATATAAAGCACCTCTGTGTATCTAACAGTTATATAAAATTAAAAACCAATCCAAATATCTAAAAGATATTTAAAAAACGTCTGATAAATATCCAATGAATTAAATGATTTATAACATATGTAGATTTTCAATACCACAAAAATAATTAAAGCTAATTTTAATTTTTTCCCATTATAAAAATCAATTCGTATGAGACTTGTCGTTTAATACTTGTCAAATGTACATAGAATTTCTCATGTCAATCTCACGAGCGACATGCAACATCCTGGCCGATTAAAATATTAATTCATTCCGTATTGCTGCGTTATTTCAATCATAAATCAGGATGTTTCGATAACCTGCACACGATAAACAGCCGTGGAAAGTCGCGCCGACCTAGATCTGTCCCCAATGCTCGTGGACGTATCGTGTAATTATTGCGCTCTGAATGAAGTCATTAATAGTCATTATCTACGTCTAATGCTGTAATTGATATATCGTTAACGGTTGACTATGGCTCGACTATACTGCTCTAATTGATCTTGATGAGCTCCGCGCAGCGAATAAAGATTATACGTTCGAGACTCGCACTGTCTCTAAACCCTGCGGTCGTTAAAAATATGAGAAAATGTTTATATAAGTTGCCGCATAATGATCGTAAGTAATAAAACTGCTCGTTGCGTCATTGACGGTAAAACAGATCGTTTGTCGTGTGTGTTTGGTTGTCGTGTCTTTCCATTGCGTGAAAATATGCGTAACACAAGATTTATTAAACGGAACATAATATTGCATAATTCTTTCGATTTATGCAATGCGATAAGATCAAATGAAAACTGCGTTAGAATTTCTTTCGTGTAATGATGAATTGTATTAAGAATACTAGGCGTATTTCGCATGTAGTGTTGTAATCAGAAAGCAATATTATTATTGGAATTTTATGAAATATTATTTTACCAAAACATTCAAATATATGTACGTTAAACAATTTCAAAATATAAAATAGTGATTTTTTTTCGAAAATATTATTTGTATCAAAGGAAACGATGATTGAATAATTAAAAAGTTATTATTATTATTATAAAAATAAATTATTTTATGGAGCCGAAGTTTGCATAGCACAAAATCATGTTGCACTATTTTACTGTTATTATTTGGAAAATGCGAAATAATTCAAAAAAAGATCGCTTATGTTAGTCGCAGTCCAACGGCTCTCTATATTCAAGTGAAGCTATCTATCAATGGCTGCGATGTACCTATCGTTACCCGACGTAATGACATTTCGTGTCTGGCCCCGAGCCACATTTTCCTGCACGTAATCCTTCGAATCCCAGGACGAAGTCCTTGCTTATACATCCTTGCTTGTACGTTTAGATAGAGGTAGAAAGCCTCTCGAGGATTTTGCAGGTCCTCCCAGAAAAATCGAAAAGCATATGAAACTTGAAAGCTGATAGGAATATGTCATTGTTTCATAATTATTTGAGATTTTCCTGATTTATAACATGTTGAGATAACACTTTATTCCAAACTCCTCGCATTATTCTTTGTTTGCATTTATTAATTATATTGACCATACTGTATTTGCCCAATTACTAATTACTAACTATATCATGTAGAAATATAAATAAGTAATTATACACAAATAGAGCATAATTATTTATTTACAAGATTTCTATATTATGCAGATTAATAATACGGAAAACTAAACATACACACTATAATATAATTCTTATTGTAAACAATTTTTAGATAAATTTTTATAGATTTTATTCAATTATATTTGGTATTATGTGGACTTTTCTCTGTAATTTTTCTCCGCAATTCCTATTTATATCGAAATGGCTTTTTGTGCTTTTTGTTACGTGCTTCCAATATTTAATAACTCGGTCACCGAGTATACAGGTAGCGTTCATTAGCCACGACGTGGAAAAAAGCACACCATTAAAAAATTCATAAGAGATATTTTGCATCACTGGATAACGCAGTTTGTTACAATCGTTGTTTGTTCCGAAACGCTGAATAATGTAATCCACAAAAAATAGCGGCTTTTTTCCATCATTTTTCCATCTATCAGCCGTACTTTCCACTCTTTTAGGCAATTCCCTTTTTATTCGCGAATTATGAATTCTGAACAACATCGACGAGGAAGGCACCCACCGTGCATTGTAAAGAGCTTAATTCCCGATTGATAAAATCCGCCAACGATCAGACTGTAAAATTCTGGTAAATAAGTACATTCCGTACTAAAAATTTCACGTGATTTCCGTACCCTTTTTTTTATCATTCATGTATTCCAATTGAAAAATTGGTAAAATATCATATTTCCAATCATTCCAGCGTTATTTCTGCGTCGATTTACGTCAATGTAATCGGCAATTTAGGCACGCATCTGGGATTATTACCATCTAAACCGTCGTTTGTGCCGCGTCTCGTGGAGAATGATCGAGATGCAAAGGCATCCTCGAGATGCGCGTCCCAAATGTTTCATTTTCGTCACGTGTCGACGCCCGCGAAGAACGTCCCAGCTCCCGTCATAACGAAATTCCCTTCGTGGTGCATTTTCAGTTCTGACAGACGGGGGTAAAGCCGAAGCGAGTCTACTCCGTCGCGTAGTTGTCATCGTCGTCGTCGTCGTCGTCGTCGTCCTGACCCGGGGTTGGGTTAGATAGACACGTAGACAGGATACGGTGCCCGCCCCGAGGATCCTGGAAGGTCCTTTCAGAAACGTCGATCCGCATACTCTC